AAAATCTTTAAAAAAAAAAAAAAAAAAAAAAAGAAAGCCAAATACAAAAGAGTACATACTATAGGATTCCATTTTTATGATTAAAAGGAAAAGACAGGCACAGCTCATCGATGCTGTTAGAAGTCAGGATGGTGGTTATCCTCCAGGAGGTAAGTATCGGAAGGGGACACCAGGGGCTTCTGTTTCTTGATCTGGGTGCTGATTATAAGGTGTTCTGTTTGTGAAATGCACCAGGCTGTACACAACTGATATATTCAGTTTTCTGTATGTTTACTATGCTGCAGTAAAAACTTTGTAAATGAGGTGGTTGGGCTCGGTACAGCATCTTTAATGTTCTTTCCAGTTTCAATCGGAATAATAACTGTCTTCATTGTGCTTGTTCATTCACTAAGCTGAGTGCTCTCTACATAAACTCTCATGTGGTCCTCTCTTTAGTCCTCTGAGCTAGGCACTATGGGGAACAAACTGAGGCCCAAAGACATGGGGAACTTTCCAAGGTCACATATTGACTGATGGGTGGAAGTGGCTTTGAACCCAGCCACTCAGAGGCCAGGGGCCTCACTTGTAGTCCTTGAAGACCACAGCCCAAGGGACCCAGGAAGGGGTAGGTGTGGCAAGAGTGGCTTTCTCCGGCTGATGCCCAGCAGAGACCCTCCTGGGTATCTGGAGCTGGGTTTCCCTCTGTATCTCCACAGCCCGGCTCCTTCTGAGTTTTCCTCCTGCTGAGGGGGCAGGGGTGCACTTTCTGTTTCTCTTTCCTGGAAACTGTGTCTTCTCGCTGCTTGGACTCTTAGATACTCCCCTTCAACTGACCTTAGGGTGAAATTACATTTTCTAGTGTACTTAGCACTTACTGAAGAATTTCTTATGTTAGCCTACTCATAATTTTAAAAGCTAGTTAAAAGGTTCTTGCGAGTTATTTCTAAAAAGACAATTATAGTACATTGATCTGTGCCCATAAAATGGATGGAGGTCTCTCAGTGTAAGAAATGCTCTCCACTCACCCCCTTAAATATAAGGCTCCTTGGCTACATGGTTTCAAGTGGGGATCTAAAATGGTCATTTTTAACATCAGAAATCTATGACCAGCAGACAGCCCAAGTCTGAAAAGTTATCTACCAGGCCCTTTATGCAGTATTAAGAACTTGTAAAGTACTAGGAAGTTAATGTCCTAGCAATCCAGTACATAGGTGTTGATTTAATTTGTAGCCAATAATAAAAATTCTGTAAGACATTTTGCTTTTGGTATGAAAATGGCCCTAATTGTGTGTTTGTATATACTGCCTGCAGGTATAGCCAGTAGGTGCATATCTAGCAAAAGTCTGAAAAAGATGGCATAAGAAAGTAGTGTTAGAGTAGAAATACTCTCTATTTGTGAATGCCAGCTGGTGGGGGAAAGAGGATACACACAACTTCTGATAATTATAAAATTAGTTAAAAGCTTTGCTAATAGAGAACAAGAAATAATTCAACAAGAAATCATTACAAAATGAATTTATTAGACAAACACATCAATAGATTGAGTCTGAGGATTTGGTTGGAAAGCCACTCAGCTTTTTAAAGCAGCAGAAGTCCAAAGCCACACACTTAGAGCATTACTGAGTTACAATTTGTAGAAACGGAGTCAGGAATTACAGCCCTCCATGCTGGTCCACAGACTGATTAGCTTCCCACCTCCCTCCCTCCTCCTTCTCTTCAAGTGGAGTCTTCTGTGACTCAGGTACCTGAGAGGAATGAAGTGTTTCCCACGTCTTACAGAAACTCAGCGTCTTTATTACAGATCTTGCCTCTGTGCCCTTGAATTGCCTGTTCACGACACGTGGAAGGTTGCTTTTGAGAAACCAACAAATAGTTATCACAGGAGTGTTTATCAACATATAAAGTGAATAAACAATATTCTCTACTACAGTAACTGCACTTTTAATCTCATCTGGCATCAACTGTCTTCTAGAAAGTTACAATGTGTTGTTTGGGGACACTTTTCTTCTTTAGTATAGAAGGAAAAGAGTCTAATTAGTAAATAACACACAAATAATACATGTTCTCAGATCTTGTGAGAGTCACATGAATATGAAGTCTTCATTTAATTTGGGAGAAAGGGAGGATATTTTCTTTCATTCTTGATAGTAATAGAACTAGATATTTCAAGATTATAATATCATGTGTTCATAATACCAAACAGCATGCTTTTACTTTATATGAAGCCATTGATCATTAAATACAATTATTAACGGCATAGGCTATCAAGAAATAGCAAGGAATATGGTATGCACATAGATATCAGTAGGCCTCAGGTAATCAAATAAGGAGGAGAATGAAACATACATGACCTAGCTGGGGACTTCTGGGTTTCTGAGATACGGGCTACAAACCATATTACATAGAAGACTAAGGGAAGAGTATTGCAAACAAAGCTGGCAAGAGAACTTTACAGAAGAATTAATTTTTAAGGGAGATAAAGCAGCAGTGAGAATGCATGTCCATATATCAAGTTCCTACAGTTGAATCCATCATGAATATGCCTTTTGCTTCCCCAGTAGCTCTTTACACCCAAGAAGCATTTCTTTCACAGTCCCTTACAACCTTTTGCTTGTTCGCCATGCCATCATGGAGAGTCTGGAACAATAACTGCTTTCAAGTCAGAATCTTAGATGAAGCTCTAAAAACCTTGAATTTGTGCTTTTAAAAAACAGTCCAATTCATACCAGCAGTGTGTGCTGCAGGAGCTAACTCTGCCCAGCTTTGTTCACTACTTGCAGCCTCGGAATCGCTGGGACAGAGACATTAGCCAGGACTGAAGTTTTAAAGCATCAAATCCTGCAAATCAAAATAGGCAGTCTCATGCATAGACTTCAAGATGTCAGTTGAGCCTCTAGTCCCTTCATTACCATTTTTACGCCTTTGGGGCCATCATGGTGGCTTGTCAAAGCTGCTCTCAAAACTCCAGTGCACTAGAACCGTGTCTACTTTGGCAGGTAAGTCTGGCTACAAAGCTGTTAACATTTCCTAGCACAAATTTCTGGTCTTCTCAGAAAATAAGGTACCATTATCTCAGGAATAGCCTGTGGAGTGTCTGTTTGGAACAAACTCAGCTCAAGTCCGAATCTCAAATGAAGATCTAAAATGTAGAGTTTTATGCATTTAAAAAATAGTCCATTTCACAGCGGCAGCGTGTGCTCGTGGACCCAGCCCTCTCCAGCTTTGTTCAGTATTTGGGAAGAATCCCTGGGTTTGGGCCAATAATCAAGTATGAAAAGGGAAACAATCATCTATGAAAATGGAAAGCTCCTCACCCTCTGAGTGAGCGAAAATCTTTGAAGATTCCATCCTAGGTGTGAGCAGCTGGTAGGCAGGTGGTCTTGGCTCCCTGCTGCCTCCGTCCTCGCAGCTGTGTTAGCCCCGCGCGGAGCACCCAGACCCTCAAAAAGAGCCCTTGAACTGAAGTCTGCCCGAAAGTGAGGAGTAAGGTCCAGAAACGGGAAGATTTGAGGACAGCCTCTGTCCAGGACACTTTTAAAGAAGGCAGATCCTTGACCCCCTTTGTGGATCGCGTGGATTCAGGGGGTCGGCGCGGCAGGAAGGGGCGCGGCTGGGAGTCGGCAGGCGGCCTCTCCCTGCCCTCTGGCGGCACCTCCCGGAAGCTGGAAGGGAAAGGGCGCGCAGACACCCGCGCACCAGGAGGGGGCGGTCCCTGCGCGTCGGCGCCCTTCCATGGAGCGGGGACCACACGACGACACCAATCATTCGAGAGTTCCGACGAAGTGGGACCCAGGGGGGCTTCGGGTTCACAGGTGCGGGGCGTAGAAAGGGGTCAGGTAGGAGGGCGCGAGAAAGGGCGCAAAGGGGCTCCCGGCGGCGGCGGGCGTCAGCGGGAAGGAGGCGGCGGCTGGGAAGAGGACGTTGGCCGCGGAGTAGGAGGGGAAAGTCTGGAAGGGCAGAGCGCCCGGGCCGGGCGGACCCGGGCTGCT